AGCGAGCCATATGTTGTCTGTAATCTCCCAAACCCTCGCTTCAATTACTGCCTCCCCCGAGCCTCCACCGCCCAGCCTAAGTAAACAAGCCCCTCTGAAAGAGGACCCCGCTTTCCAATTAAAAGCGTCCTAACGTTTCTCCTCTTCCTAAATCCTCCCGAGTGAGGAATGTCCTGGCCCCGGCGGCGGGATGCGGGCTCGGCGGGTCGGGCCGAGGGCACGCCGCACAATATCCGTCGCCCCGGCCCCTTCCCAGGTGACGTCAGGGGCGGCCCCAGACACTCATTAATTTCTCCCCACTCCTCGGTGGGGAAAGGCTTGAAAGGGAGAGTTAATTAAAAGTAATACCCCGCCAAATCCGGCTTCGCTTTTCCTTCTTTCCCTTTGACACTGGGAGGGATTTGGGGAGCAGGTGTTGAGGGGAGGGCTCGGGGGGGGGCTGCTCTAAGTGGGTTTTCCCTCTTGACATAGGTTTTAAGCATCATTTACTTGATGGAGTCCATGAGCTCCTGAGTCCCCCCTGCTGGGCTCTACCCTTCCCAGGGGATTGGGGTGCTCACCTCATGTTAGGGTGCTAAGAGGTTCAGGCACCAAAATGTCTCCACTGGTTGACATTCCTCCTCCCAATATTGTAAAAATCTCTATCCTTTCATCAAAAGTAAACTCCTTCAGGTTGCAGGAGAGCAGAGAGCTCAGCAGAGCAGAGACCCTGCCTGTGCTGGCACTGAGAAGGAGGCAGCGATGGGTGCTGCTCAACTCCATTCACCATCAGAGACTCCACACCCTGGGAGTCCCCAGTACTGGGGCCCTCAGGCCTCCTGCATTACTATGTCTCTGGCGCTGGGACACACAAAACAGCAGTTTGTCTTTCCTGTTGGCACTGCTGCCATGGGCATGACGTGGATGTGCCGTGGGTGAGCAGGGAGCTCACAGGAACAGCAGCAGCAAGGCTCTGGCTTCCAGGGGCCAGCACCCAGCTCTGGGTTGTTCGAGGACCACCAGTGTGAAGATCTCTCCCTGTCCCAGCCCTCTCAACCCTTGCCACAGGGATGGTCTCCATATCAGCTGGTGAGCCCAGGAGAGAGCCCACTCCTCCACTGGGATCACTGTCTCACCCTCACTCCAGGAATGTTCTGCCTTTCTCCAGTCACAGTTGGGCTTCTGTTGGATCTCTGCTTCTCTGATGTGTGTGATCCATGATAAGCTCTTGCCGTGGGGTTTGACCTGACCTGCTTTTGACATGAAACTCTGACCCAGGCTCACAACCCCCTGGTGCATCCCCATCTTCCAGAGACACAGCAGCCTTGGGACAGGACTTTGGGCAAAGCACAGCCTTGCAGCCTGCATCTGCATCAAGCCAGCACCTCAGCTCCATTAGCAATTCCCAAACGGATGGTGGAGGGGCTTTCTGGAAAAGGCAGAAAGTGATTTACAGCTCATGAGAGGGAAGGATCTGTGCTGTCAAACCTGCATTACAGCCCTCCTGCACCAGCTGAGCAAGCGAGGCCATGGACACGGTGGCGATGCAGTAGATGAGGAGGGCTGGTCAGAAGCAGTGATATCTGCTCTCCTGGAGCAGCTCCTGTCGATGGCCCCATGGCCCCGAATGGCAAAGAGCCACAGGGAGATACACACCAATGCCTGTGAATGCAACGGAGCAGCACATCGCAGCGAGTACCTGAAGAGTGAGGCTTGAGGCAGCCTGGGCTTGTGTCCAGGGATGTTTAAAACACCATGGAAGGGGGGAAATACAGGCAAAAAGGTGTCCCTTATGTTTGTGATTAAATGTCTGTGCTCTGAATAGTGTTGAACTCCATAGTAGGGCAATTCAGGAGGGCTTTGTGAGGTCTTGGCTAACATGTTGCCCTCTCTGAGCATCTCTGCTCACCCTGCTCCCAGACCTCCCCTGGCTGGGTCTGTCCAGGCAGAGGGACCAGATGCCTGGTCATTAGCTGTGCTGGGAGCCCCAGGAGCACAGTGGTCCTCAATGGCTGCTATCTTTGCATGGATGCAGCCTGTGTGTCTCTATCTGAATGTGTCCCCAGCTATGGGCCTGTCAGGAAATCCCTGTGGAGCAGGGAGGAATTTGGGTCTGATGGAGGGAAAAATCAGGTGCCCCAGGGTTTCACATTGTAGCTGCTCAGATTGTTGGGGAAGAGAAGAACCAAAGAGTACATCTGCTGGCTGTGTGACCCCAAACTATGAGCCAGAGCAACTCCCCTCCTCTCTGAGCTGCCACAGGGCAGCCAGCCCCAAACCTCATCTCCTCAGAAACATTCACAAGATCTCCACCAACACCAGCTTGTTTTAAATACCCCAGATTATTCTGGACATTCTGGAAAACGATGTGCACTGAGCATTGTCTGTAAAAGACCTGCTTTTTTTTCCCCCCTTAGGCAAAAGTGATGATGAGGACAGCATCTGCAAAATGGGCCAAGCCTCAGGGAAAGGCGCTGAGGATGGGAAGGATCACAAGCGGCCCAAGAGACCCCGGACAATTCTGACCACACAGCAGCGGAGGGCTTTTAAGGCATCATTTGAAGTTTCCTCCAAGCCTTGCAGAAAGGTATGGGGAGACGGGCCCATGCTCAGCCACCTCCAGCCCCTCCTAAAGTCCCCCTGAGAGCTGGGTGGGCTGAGATGCCTCTGTCATTCCTCTCTCCAAGGTGCGGGAGACGCTGGCGGCCGAGACGGGGCTGAGCGTCCGCGTGGTGCAGGTTTGGTTCCAGAACCAGCGAGCAAAGGTGAGTCCAAGGGGTACTCGTGCCAGCAGGCACTGCCAGGGCTCCTCACTTTGGCCGGGGAGTGACTTCGCCCCATTTTCCCCCCTTCCTCTCCCCCAGATGAAGAAGCTCGCCAGGAGGCAGCAGCAGCAGCAGCAGGATCAGCAAAACACACAGCGCCTGAGCTCAGGTGACCCCCTTGCACCCAGCTCGCCCCGCACTCAGGGTCTCCCCATGTCCCACCCCTCTCCGGGCTTCCCAGGGGAGCTGGGCCCCCCTGAAAGAGCGGCCCGACTGCGCTGATGGCTCGCTCTTGTCTTCCAGCCCAAGCGAACGGCGCTGGCGGCGCGGGGCTGGAGGGGATGCTGAACCCCTACACCGCTCTGCCCCCACCCCAGCAGCTGCTGGGCATGGAGCAAGGCGTCTATGGCTCCGACCCCTTCCGGCAAGGGCTCACCCCCCCGCAGATGCCCGGAGACCACATGCACCCCTACGGTAAGGTTCCGGGGCTTGCCTCTTGCCGTCTCGGCTGGATGCCGGGCTGTGGTGGGGGGCTGTCTGGGAGGGACGTGCTTGGGGATGCAGCGTTTTCTGGAAAGATGGCGGTCCCCTCCCCATAAATCCTTACGCTGAAAAAGCTGGGGGTACTGGGCACCGTCGGTGTGCCGGAGGAGAAAGCAAGCTCTGAAGCCCTTCTGCTCTTCCCTGCTTCCCAAGGTGCCGAGCCCCTCTTCCATGACTTGGATAGCGACGATACCTCACTGAGCAACCTGGGCGACTGTTTCCTCGCCACGGCGGACGCGGGGCCGCTCCAGGCACGAGTGGGGAACCCTATCGACCACCTCTACTCCATGCAGAACTCCTACTTCACC